TCCTTGTGATCTTTCAAAGTGAAAAAACAGTTAGAGGATCCGTTTATTTCTATTTTTTTATATACCTCGTGGTTGGTTAAAATTTGTTTTCCTTTTTTGTTTATATGTTCCTTTAATTTTGGATTTGCTTTTTTGTATGTAGTGGTAATAGCATTTGTTAACAGATTATTGTAATCTTCTTTAGACAGTTTATACATATTTGATGTTTTGCCAGCATGTGTTAGAGTTTTGTGAGATTTACGTATATTTTTGATATTTTTTTTCATACCATTTTGAAAAGTGTTGCGTATGTCTTGAAACTTTATTGATTTAATAAGATTGATTAAGTCTTTTTCGAAGAATGACATTTCTTTTATTTGCGGTGGACATATATGAGATCTAATTCCGTAGTTTGTATAATTGATATTGTCTTTAATTCTTGGATCGTTATTAATAAAAAAGAATGCTTTCCATCTCATTTTCTTTAAAAGTAATTCCGTTTTGTTTATTAATTTTAATTTAAAGTCTCTTTCTGACGGTATTGAAATGTTTTTTATTAAATAATCAAAGTTTATTTTTTCCATTGCGTTGACGACTTAAGTAAAGTGTTCAACTTTACGGAGCAAATATTTGTATAGATTTCGATATATAGAATATATTTGAGGTTAAGTATTTTGATGCAATAATACGAAGTCTCTTGTACGTGTTACAGTGCTCAATATTACTGAATAATAGAGCTATATATAATATATATATATATACATATATATATATATATATATATATATATATATATATACATATATATATATATATATATATATATATATATACATATATATATATATATATATATATATATATATATATATATATATATATATATATATATATATATATATATATATATATATATATATATATATATATATATATATATATATATATATATATATACATATATATATATATAGGGTGATGCAAAAAACAAATTTTTAAAAATAGTCTCCTGCTCTTAACTAAACGTGTTCTATGTAATACAAAAACATTAGGTTTAAAGTTTTTTTGAATAAAAAATATTTTTAGGGGTTCCTCAAGACCCTTAAAAATTTGATGGGTCCCTAATATTTTGAAAAAAATAGTTTTTTTAAAGTATGTCAACCTGGTACTCAAAAGAAGCGAAATTATATAAAAAACTTGAAAAATAATAATCAATTTACATAAAAAACATGTTTTAATAAATTATTTAAAAAAAACTTGAAAATATTGACTTTTTGAAAAAAATCTGAAAAAAATATTTTTATGTAAATTGATCATTATTTTTGAAGTTTTTATATAATTTCGCTTCTTTTGAGTAGCAGCTTAACATACAAAATTGCTTTTACCTCATTGTTTTTCATTAACTTTTAAATTTTCAGTGATATAAATATATTCTGAATAAAGTTGACACATCAAGGTTATTTACAAATAGTAATAAGTACTAATAAGAAATAAACACCTGTAAACTTCAATACTAATAAAATGATGCTAATATTATTAGCATCATTTTATTATTATTGAAGTATTATTAATAATAATTATAATGCAAGTAGGAGGAAATAAAAATAATAGTTGTAATAAGAGCGATTAAAAGTAATAGTAAAGATTATAAAAAGTATACACTATACTATTTATAATCTTTACTATTTAATAATAATAATAACAAAAATAACAGTAAAAATAACAACAATAATAATAACAATAATAACAACAACAGTATTATAACAAAAACAGTAATTTAAAGTAAAAAAAAAATTATGACAATATTAACAAAAGTAAGAATAATATTATTTATAATGATAAAAGTATAGTAACAATAATATTAACAATTATAGTGATGAAGAGAAAATACTTCAGTTTAAGAAAGATTAAAAGAATAAATAACTGGTTATTTATACTTTATAACTTTAACTATTTTTTAGAAAAATATTGCTTATAAATCTTATACTTTCCTTCAAATTATTATTTATAACCTTAACTCTGAGCTTCTATTTATCTAATTTTTTTTTCCTCTTTTCTGTTGTGTTTTAATATTTTTTGTTAAGTTTAACAAAAAATTTTAAATCACAACAGAAAAGAAAAAAATTACATAAAAGGAAGCTCAGAATTAGGGTTATAAATAATAAGTTGAATGAAAGTATAAAAATTATAAGCAATGTTTTTCTAAAAAGTAGTTAATGAGAGCAGTTTTAAATTTTGAAAATGACTTACATTTCTTACATGACAAATTCAGTAAAAAAATATTAACAAAGAAATCGCTTGAAATTAAAATTTACCAAGAAATGTGCACTTAATTAAAATGAATAAATTTGTAATAAATTTTCAACTCAAGGTAAGTACTTTGAAAAGTTCTAAAACACAGGTTTCTAAAACTAAATATTCATATCTTTGGATCTTCAACAACAATTTCCATAGGTCACTCTTCCGGAACATTTATTGACTATAAACATTTTGGCTGTAGAAATTTATCAATGGTAATTTT